TAAAGAGGAGATTTGCTGTTAAATTTCGATGTTGTGTCTATGCACACTAACATTAGGATAAACGAGGCAATGAAGGCGCTAGAATGAACTCTATATCAACATCCTGAAAGCATAACAGGTAAAAATTTAAGCAAAGATTAAATCTTTAGATTAATTAATTTGGCTATATGGACGATTACTTTGCTATTTGGCAACCGGCAAAGATAATTTGGGGGAATTCCTTGAGCCAATAAATAGAATAGATGCAAACATTAAGTTTACCATAGAGTTATAAAAGGAAAATAAATTGTCCTTTTTGGCTGCATTATTGAGCAAAGATGGTAATAACTTAAGTAGAGACGTATATAGGAAACGTGGGTATCCTTGGTAATGTCTTCTCCATCTATACATATACAGTCAAAATAGAAATTATTAAGTCTATGGTAATATGGAGTCTTCGTCTAGCAGATGCAAACGATTGGTAAATTAAGGGATATATTGTTTCAAAGCAATTACCAATTAGGGTTAATAGGCAATTACATATCAATTGTAGTCAACACGATTATAGTAATTTGCTATCAGGTGCGGGATAGACAACTGGACAATTCCACTCGGTTCCTGATTTTGCTTTCCTGTCAGCTTGCGAAAAAGTTGGGTAATCAATGGAGGAAGTGGAACATAAACACAATGTATAAAGAGGAATTAACACTTTCCTCAGTAGTTCCTTCGTTTAGAGAATTTTCAGTACACAAAACCGCTTGTGAAGGTCTGTAGGTCCAAAAATCTGAGCTCGCTGAACACAATACTAATGTAGGACATTCAATAGACTGGTCAAAAACAGCGTTTTTCGGGTTACCGGGACTTCACGCCAAAGCGTAAGATTAGGGAGTCTCTAGAAATTGGCAAAATAGCCAACGTCTTGAATTGGACATACGAGTGTAGAAAACAGAGTATAAACTATTTGTGGATGTTGAATAGGCTTAAGGAGAGCGAGAGAGAGAGGAAGAGCTGTCGAACGAGCGGAGTCTGGCTTAGGTTCGCGTATAGCTATGACTATCACACTTTCCATAGAATAAGCATTACATACAAACAATAGGCAATAGCACAAGCCCAAACATGACTCAATATTATAGGGTCGTACATTAGTTTATTTGTGTAAGGAATTAGCTGCCACTGAACGCACTTCCGTTTCGTGAAGGAACTTAACTTATTTGTATGCATGTACATTAATCGAAGGTATTAAGACCAAGATGGCGTGGCCTTTTGAGTGGTCGCAACGAAGATTAAGTTTGAAGTAACCAGCCAAATCATGGGATGTGTCATTAAGATCGCAATGTTAGGTGTATAAAAAGCGACTAGGGTTGCAGCTGGCCACCTTTTTTCTTGTTTCAATATATTTTTGCTCTAATTCGCAAAGTATGGAATATTGCTACGATGATGTTTGTCACAGTACAGACGAAAGCTTAGCACAGTTTCATCGGGATCGCAGGACGGGGAATCAAGGACTTCTTCGCACAATTATCTACGCCGCAATCCTCCAGTTTCTAATGAGATCATTTCACGAATTCCTTCCGACCAACTTTCCCTTGAAATGGAGCGTCATGCCACCATATTTCATTAAGGAATTCTTCAAAACAGTTTTTATTCGTAAATTATTTATGCCTTTTGCCTTTATCTTTTTTTGCAGCGTTCAATAAAAGGATTCATAACTTGGCCTCAACGGAAACTGAAGGGTTGAGTTGGAGTTGTGACTAGATTTACGCGAATAATTCATTTATGAACGTCCCACGACCCCTATGAATCCATTCTAAGCTTTCGTCAGTCATATGACAGGCATGGCCAGAGCGATTGAAACCCATCTGCTTAGTCGAAACCCAATTTTATCTCGTCTAAACTTGGTTTAATTATAAATGCGGACTAGCTTGTTCATATACATTTTGTAATATAGACTAAAGACTCAATTTAAGAGAATTTAGTAAATCTCTTTCTCTGTACTTATATATGCATCTCTAGTCTTACAAGTATTCCAGATTTTGATTTGCAATTTATTTCGGACAAATCCTTATTTAAATTTATTTTTTTAATTCCTATATTTATGCATTCTTATCGAGTTATTATAGTGCTCTTATTGGGTTGATTAACTGTACTGCAGCTCGGTCGTCTGCTTTACCCCCTTCAGTTATCACAATGTGATGTCTTTTATGCTTAATTTATTTTTTTTAGGTAAAATTATTGCGATTGATGCGCGTTCTTGGACATGGTGACAAGGCTTCTAGTGAATCTATGAACGACATACTAGCCCAGGTTTGAATACAGACTAATGCCCTTCTCAACTATTTGCACTGCTTTCGATGTTCAAACGTCCTATTAATCTACTTTTGATTTAGTCAGTCACCTGTCAGTGTATAAAGCCAGATTTCAGTCGGGATCTGGCAAAGACTAAATGATCGCCATTGAGTTATTCATTTAACTAAAGTTTGCATGAATAATATAACTCGACCAGGGTTGTCTTCCAGGTGCTTATATACAGGAATCGGACTCCACTTTACTTTATAAATGCTTATTTCATTTCAAATTGCTTTTAAATTTCAATCCTAGTCTTAACTCCTCAAATTGCTATTATTTTCTTTGTCTCCAAGCCACTTATATTCAAAGCTACAAATGCCTTAGCTAGAAGTCAAAAATTCTCAATAGCGCAAGGGCTATTTTAGTTTGGCCAACCTAAATTGGTTTCTTAACTCTATTTTCATCTACTCTGATGTTTGGTGGTTTACTCTCCCTATCTCGACTTTGACATTTAAAAGCCATTCCACAGAATATAGCATTTTCTTATTTTACATTGAATACTAGTTGTTCTCCTTACGAGGAGACGAAGTTGTTTGAAATTGATTTGATTGGAATTAACTGGCCATGTATCTAAAAGGGCTATCTGTCCTTATAGCACTATTCGAATTAGTTAATCTTCTAGTAACCTTTTGATCACCTCACTAAAATTTATCTTTTTTTTCAATAAATTTCTATCTAAGCCACTTTAGACTTCTTTTAAGTATTACATTTGCTCTTCAAAATGGTCGAACGTTCCTCACTTGACCTTTGAACATCGCTTCATATTAGCCTAAACTAACATATTTTCCATCCAAAATTTCACTTTCACTAAAGTTTAAAAACGATTTCTCTAAACCGGCATTGAAAGAGTATATCCAGCATTGTTTCCACTTCATATAATTGCTTTTGTAACCCAATTTTATATCTAATGAAACTTTTTCTTTTGAATTCTTCCAGGTTGCCACTAATACAGAAACTCTAAAAAATGTTGGTCATGCCATTTTATACGAAATCGTGCTCACTATTATGGGTATAGAATCAGATCCTGGACTCAGGGTACGAAATCAGCTGTTGTTATTAGTCTTTTCCATATTTGTTATTATTTTTATATTTTATATACGAAAAGTATCTGGATTTCATTGTTGTTGTGACACATTTCGTGTGAAGGTGTAACAGTTAAAAAATTGAAAAGACCCATAGGTCAATCTTACCATTAAAAGACTGCATTGCTTGATCTTATTATGAGCTTCATGTTTACGCAGTTCACGAGGCTTCTTCTTTTACTTAGATGAATACTAGCTTTTGTTTTTGTCAAACCTATCACAGCTAGAGCTGGAAATAGTCCCACGGAAGTTTCGTGTTACTAGCCTGCTCAGTTACATATGCTCTTTATAGTCATAGCTAAAAAAAATTTTTAAAAATGGTTAGTTTTTTTCAATGTACTATTATACTTAGCTACCTGTCCCGACACTCTTTTTACAGACGAGAATTAGGAATTTCTTTATTAACCTAACCCTCGATCACAAGTCGACCACATTAGCAGACTATATTTATATTGTATTTTAACTCAATCGTTACGCCATACAAGGAAACCTCTAATTTAACTAGTCCTTTTGGACCTGAAATCCATAATAAAGGACTAATTTCTTTTTCGATCATAAACTTATCAGGACTTTTGAATGAACTTACAAAAATAGCAATGACCAAATGGCCTTTATCGTCTCATAGTGAGAT